CTTATAGATGGCAACTCTTAACAACAACGCATATCATATGCTCTAAACGAAAGAGATGTAAACAAATAAATCGTGTTATGTTTTGCAAAGACGAAAGAAAACAAACAAAAACAGTAAATAAAAAGCAACAAAAATCGCAAATAAGAACGAGGTTAGTAACCGAGATGCCGGTAAAAGTATACACACATAATTGTAACAAGAAAAAAAAAAAAACAAAATTGAAATTCTTATTTGGTGTTTTCTTTTTTTTTTAGACATTCATTATTATTCGTGTATACATTTGTTTCTTGTAATTTTTCTTTTGCTTTTAATGTTATGAAATCAATTGCAATTTGCGTTATTTCTTGTGTACACTAAAATTTCACAATATTTTTCTATAATTTAATAAAACATGTATTAACAATAACAAATTATCCACGTATACACATAATATTTTGCACACAGCATCCATTTTTCTGCTGGTATTCCAAAGCAATAAAAATTTTCATGCTGGATTTTCAAACATTTAAAAGTATTTTTATTCATTCATACTTTTTGATTATGTATATTTTCCGCTTATGAAACACTTTATAAAATTTATTTTGATTTTTTGTAATTTATGAATTTTAGTTAAACATTTTAATTTTATTTTAAAAAAATTTCTGCTTTTTTAATCTTTTCTAAAAAAATTTACATCGCACAGCAGCTTTACACAGACAACTAAAATTTCTGTGCGAAATTGTAGCAAAAAATGTTTCCGTTTTTTGTATTTTTCTCTCTATCTCGTGTTATTATTTTGTTGTTCTCTCTTATTTTAGGAAATTTACCTTTTTTAGGAGAACATGTATCTTTAAGAGCAAGTGGAAAGTTTAACTTTATTATACCGTTATTTTCTATTGGTGTTATTAATTGTTACTTGTTTACAGTTTCCTTAAAGCTAAAAATAATTGTTCATTTCTTTAAACAATTTTTGTTTTATTTTGTGGTTCTTTTTTCGTTCTAATTATTATTTTATTTTTATAAAGAAATAAATATTTATTACTAATTGCTCTTGCATTCTTGGCGTACTTTTCCCTAATTGCACTGTGCTCACTTACGCTTTCTCATTTATAAATTTATTACGCTCTCAGATTTTAAAGCCCTGCAGTTCGAAAGGGTTAACTGAACTAGATCTAAACTAGAACTGAACTAGAACTGAACTAAACTGAACTAGAACTGAACTAGAACTGAACTAGAACTGAACTAGAACTGAACTAGAACTGAACTAGAACTGAACTAGAACTGAACTAGAACTGAACTAGAACTGAACTAGAACTGAACTAGAACTGAACTAGAACTGAACTAGAACTGAACTAGAACTGAACTAGAACTGAACTAGAACTGAACTAGAACTGAACTAGAAGAACTAGAACTGAACTAGAACTGAACTAGAACTGAACTAGAACTGAACTAGAACTGAACTAGAACTGAACTAGAACTGAACTAGAACTGAACTAGAACTGAACTAGAACTGAACTAGAACTGAACTAGAACTGAACTAGAACTGAACTAGAACTGAACTAGAACTGAACTAGAACTGAACTAGAACTGAACTAGAACTGAATTAGAACTGAACTAGGACTGTACTAGAACTGAACTACGTCTAAAATCTTGTGGAGATTTATGCCTCTTGGGAGTAATTTGTAATTTTCGTTTATTTCGTAATTTTAGATTTAAGAGAAAAATATGGTTTTGACCTTACCTGTTAATGTATTAGATTCCAAAAATACACTTATTATACAAGTTTTTTGTGCTTATTTTATTTTGATTATAATATATTTTTTCTTACATATAACTGAAAAGCACACTTATAAAAATCGCTCATAATGGGTTAACTGAACTAGATCTAAACTAGAACTGAACTAGAACTAAACTAGAACTGAACTAGAACTGAACTAGAACTGAACTAGAACTGAACTAGAAAACTAGAACTGAACTAGAACTGAACTAGAACTGAACTAGAACTGAACTAGAACTGAACTAGAACTGAACTAGAACTGAACTAGAACTAGAACTGAACTAGAACTGAACTAGAACTGAACTAGAACTGAACTAGAACTGAACTAGAACTGAACTAGAAGAACTAGAACTGAACTAGAATGAACTAGAACTGAACTAGAACTGAACTAGAAGTGAACTAGAACTGAACTAGAACTGAACTAGAACTGGAACTGAACGAACTGAACTAGAACTGAACTAGAACTGAACTAGAACTGAACTAGAACTGAACTAGAACTGAACTAGAACTGAACTAGAACTGAACTAGAACTGAACTAGAACTGAACTAGAACTGAACTAGAACTGAACTAGAACTGAACTAGAACTGAACTAGAACTGAACTAGAACTGAACTAGAACTGAACTAGAACTGAACTAGAACTGAACTAGAACTGAACTAGAACTGAACTAGAACTGAACTAGAACTGAACTAGAACTGAACTAGAACTGAACTAGAACTGAACTAGAACTGAACTAGAACTGAACTAGAACTGAACTAGAACTGAACTACTAGAACTGAACTAAACTGAACTAGAACTGAACTAGAACTGAACTAGAACTGAACTAGAACTGAACTAGAACTGAACTAGAACTGAACTAGAACTGAACTAGAACTGAACTAAACTGAACTAGAACTGAACTAGAACTGAACTAGAACTGAACTAGAACTGAACTAGAACTGAACTAGAACTGAACTAGAACTGAACTAGAACTGAACTAGAACTGAACTAGAACTGAACTAGAACTGAACTAGAACTGAACTAGAACTGAACTAGAACTGAACTAGAACTGAACTAGAACTGAACTAGAACTGAACTAGAACTGAACTAGAACTGAACTAGAACTGAACTAGAACTGAACTAGAACTGAACTAAACTGAACTAGAACTGAACTAGAACTGAACTAGAACTGAACTAGAACTGAACTAGAACTAGAACTGAACTAGAACTGAACTAGAACTGAACTAGAACTGAACTAGAACTGAACTAGAACTGAACTAGAACTGAAGAACTGAACTAGAACTGAACTAGAACTGAACTAAACTGAACTAGAACTGAACTAGAACTGAACTAGAACTGAACTAGAACTGAACTAGAACTGAACTAGAACTGAACTAGAACTGAACTAGAACTGAACTAGAACTGAACTAGAACTGAACTAGAACTGAACTAGAACTGAACTAGAACTGAACTAGAACTGAACTAGAACTGAACTAGAACTGAACTAGAACTGAACTAGAACTGAACTAGAACTGAACTAGAACTGAACTAGAACTGAACTAGAACTGAACTAGAACTGAACTAGAACTGAACTAGAACTGAACTAGAACTGAACTAGAACTGAACTAGAACTGAACTAGAACTGAACTAGAACTGAACTAGAACTGAACTAGAACTGAACTAGAACTGAACTAGAACTGAACTAGAACTGAACTAGAACTGAACTAGAACTGAACTAGAACTGAACTAGAACTGAACTGAACTAGAACTGAACTGAACTACTTCTAAAATCTTCTGAAGATTTATGCCTCTTGGGAGTAATTTGTAATTTTCATTTATTTCGTAATTTTAGATTAAAGAGAATAATATGGTTTTTGATCTTACCTGTTAATGTATTCGATTCCAAAACTACACTTTATTATACAAGTTTTTTGTGCTTATTTTATTTTGATTATAAATCTATTTTTCTTACATATAACTGAAAAGCACACTTATAAAATCGCTCATAATCCTTTGTTCTGAAAAACTTTTCTAAATTTTAGTTTGAAAGGAAACATTAACTTATTTACATTGTAAATATGTAAATTGTTTTTTTTTTTATCACATTCATTATTACCATATAAAAAATTACTTTTTGTTTATTGGTTTTGTAAAAACTACATTGTTTTAAAAGAACTTAATAATAAATAAAAAATTAACAAAATTTGTGTGCAAAATGCAATTGTTCTAATAAAGTTGCTTACATTTAAAGCAAAACATAAAGGATATATTTGGATATTGATAAAAGTCAATTAATATGTAGTAAACTCTCAGAGCAAAATCGATGTTGTGAGTTTTAATTAATCGGAAATATACTTATAAAAAAATCTTGCGACTTCTTTCAAGCACATAAACGGATTCGTCTAACTCGGATAATATGGATAATATTGTGGTATTTTTCTTAAAAACAAACAGTTGTAACTAAATTTAACATTGTACTTTACGGCTATTTATACATTTATTTACATTTACAATATTTAAGTTAATAATTCTAGAATTTTAGTTGTTATTTTATAATTGTTTATAAACTTTTTATTACAAAATTTAAAGCTCTCTCGTATTTAACTTCTTAGATCTACTAAATAAACTCTTAAGCACTCCTTAATATGTTAACATTTGAAATTAAATTCGATATGGAAAAGTCAAATAAATATGTCAATATTTAGCGTATTCGAAAATATACGTTTCTACAGTATTCTACTACAAATATTTGGCTGGATAATGAGTATTATTTTGGTACTAGAACTGAAAAAGAACTGAACTAGAACTGCAATAGAACTGAACTAGAACTGCAAAAAACTGAACTAGAACTGGACTAGAACTGAATTAGAACTGAACTAGAACTGAACTAGGACTTGAACTGAACTAGAACTGAACTGGAACTGAACTAGAACTGAACTAGAACTGAACTAGAACTGAACTAGAACTGAACTAGAACTGAACTAGAACTGAACTAGAACTGAACTAGAACTGAACTAGAACTGAACTAGAACTGAACTAAAACTGAACTACTCCTTTAAAAGTTAGTCTCTAATGAGGGTTGTGTCTTGGGAGTTTTGTAATCGCCTAGTTCTAGAACAAAAATACCAGGTTCTTCCGAAGACAATTCCGGACTTATTTGTTTCTTCCCAAAATTTGAAGATTTCTTGTGACGTTTTCGTTTATGGAAAATATCTGCTGCTGCCTCACTAGCGCCATAAAGACTACAATTGACTACACCACCAATAGTGGCATTATCTATAGATATTTTTGATTTTAAATTATTACGATATTTTTCCAATTGTTTAGCATTTGTATTATCCAACACCGCCGGATCAATGCGATTACGTCTGGTCGAGCGAGTAACATAGGAAGAACGTGTCATAGAATATTGATAAATTGGTTTACGTTTGCAGAACAAACGTTGCAATTCATTGCGAAATCTCTTATGAGAAATTGTATAGAGAAACGGATTCAGACAGGCAGCTGTTTTACAAAACAAGGCCGGAATCATGGAACGATCGGGTGTCAATATTCCTCCATGCCAAAAACCCCTGCCATAGCAACTATGGAGTAAGGAGTCCAAGCCAAAAACCATAAACCAATAATAAGCAATACAATGAATGCTAAACGTTCTTCAACTTTTTGTTTGTTGTGACTACATTGTATTTTCTTGGATTTAAACACGGCTCGCAGGATATGAAAATAACAATAGAATATAATCATCAACGGTATACACCAGGCAAAGAAGAAGAATAAGAACATAAACACCCGTGCTGGCATGGTTTTGTCCAAATAGTCAAAGGAACAGGTGGTTAAATAACCCTCGGGCACATAAACCGATAGACCCACTTCGAGTAGCGGTATAACAGAGAAGAAAAAAGCTTCTAGCCAGGCTATTAGTACAAGAAATAATAATATTTTGATTGATAATTAAAACGCATAGGACTTAAAGGATTTACTACGACACTATAACGATCTACAGAGATGACAGTCAATAGGCAAATAGAGGCTGTGCCACTAAATCCGCCGGCAAATGCATATAAACGGCAACCTGAAAGTAAAAATGAAGTATTGTCTCAATTAGTTTCTCAAAATATTATAGGGAATATATAAAAATTATTTACCCCAATCTCCTAGGGCAGGTCCACGCATAAAATTATTATAAATTGCAACAGGACACTTGATGACAATCATTAAATCACTTAGAGACAAGTTGAAAACTAATATATTGGAAGTGGTCCGTAATGCTTTGCATCTGAAATATAAAATTTAAAATCTAAGAACTGAACTCGAATATAGAACTAGAACTGAACTAGAACTGAACTAGAAGTGAACTAGAACTGAACTAGAACTGAACTAGAACTGAACTAGAACTGAACTAGAACTGAACTAGAACTGAACTAGAACTGAACTAGAACTGAACTAGAACTGAACTAGAACTGAACTAGAACTGAACTAGAACTGAACTAGAACTGAACTAGAACTGAACTAGAACTGAACTAGAACTGAACTAGAACTGAACTAGAACTGAACTAGAACTGAACTAGAACTGAACTAGAACTGAACTAGAACTGAACTAGAACTGAACTAGAACTGAACTAGAACTGAACTAGAACTGAACTAGAACTGAACTAGAACTGAACTAGAACTGAACTAGAACTGAACTAGAACTGAACTAGAACTGAACTAGAACTGAACTAGAACTAAACTAGAACTGAACTAGAACTGAACTAGAACTGAACTAGAAGAACTTGAACTAGAACTGACTAGAACTGAACTAGAACTGAACTAGAAACTGAACTAAACTGAACTAGAACTGAACTAGAAATGAACTAGAACTGAACAAGAACTGAACTAGAACTGAACTAGAACGTAACTAGAACTGAACTAGAACTGAACTAGAACTTGAACTAGAACTGAACTAGAACTGAACTAGAACTGAACTAGAACTGAACTAGAACTGAACTAGACCTGAACTAGAACTGAACTAGACTGAACTAGAACTTAACTAGAACTGAACTAGAACTGAACTCGAACTGAACTAGAAACTGAACTAGAACTGAACTAGAACTGAACTAGAACTGAACTAGAAACTGAACTAGACACTGAACTAGAACTGAACTAGAACTGAATAGAACTGAACTAGAAACTGAACTAGAACTGAACTAGAACTGAACTAGACTGAACTAGAACTGAACTAGAACTGAACTAGAAACTAGACTGAACTAGAACTGAACTAGAACTGAACTAGAAACTGAACTAGAACTGAACTAGAACTGAACTAGAACTGAACTAGAACTGAACTAGAACTGAACTAGAACTGAACTAGAACTGAACTAGAACTGAACTAGAACTGAACTAGAACTGAACTAGAACTGAACTAGAACTGAACTAGAACTGAACTAGAACTGAACTAGAACTGAACTAGAACTGAACTAGAACTGAACTAGAACTGAACTAGAACTGAACTAGAACTGAACTAGAACTGAACTAGAACTGAACTAGAACTGAACTAGAACTGAACTAGAACTGAACTAGAACTGAACTAGAACTGAACTAGAACTGAACTAGAACTAAACTAGAACTGAACTGGAACGGAACTAGAACTAGAACTGAACTAGAACTGAACTTGAACTGAACTAGAACTGAACTAGAACTGAACTAGAACTGAACTAGAACTGAACTAGAACGGAACTAGAACTGAACTAGAACTGAACTAGAACTGAACTAGAACTGAACTAGAA